GAAAAGAAAAAAAAAAAAAAATCCGTACGGAATCGCCGATTCACTGTTCGGAATCGTCCGGTTCTCTCTAGAACCGGACGATTTCCGATTTTTTGGACGATCCGGTCCCTTTTCACGATTTTCGAGTCGAACCGGGCGAGTCCGGTTCGACTCGGCGTTTTTTAAAACACTGGTTTTTTGGATTGATCAATGGGATGAATAAAGAACACCTGCTTGTTCTGGAGTCTACAAGTAGGCTTTTGCTTGTTGGAGCGAGTGCACAATTTGCTCCCATAGTTCAATAGAGCGCGTATTAAATTTTTTTTTTTTTTTTTAATAAGATCAGGTCTTTTTGCTGATCTTTTGAAAATGTTGCAGTTTAAAACCTTTTATTAAAAAATTAATTGATTGATTTATTTTTATTTTTTTTTTGAAGGACGTGTTTTTTTAACTGCAACTGCAACTTGCTAATTATGGTTTTGAGTGCCTAACGTTTTTTGCTTTGGGGGCACTTTTGCTAGAATTGTATAAAAATCAAAAATTAGATTTTTGGATCGAACGATTCTTCTTGTTTTGAATTTTTCTTTCTTTAAAAAGAGCTAGGGCTTTTTTGGGTTATGTTGAGAAAGTGAATGAGGTGAAGAATGATTTTGTGTCCTATTTTTAGGAAAAATGCTATAAGCTTGTATTACTCATGTTTTTGGCTTCTTTGGATTATGTTGAGAAAGGGAAGGAGGTGAAGAAGGATTTTTTGTCCCATTTTTGGGAAAAATGGTATAAGCTTGTGTTGCTCATATTTTTAGGTCATACGAAGTGAAACGGGAAAATCGTGACTTTTGAATGATCATAAGAATGTATTCTTGATGATGTTTTTTCATCAATTTTCTCTTTTTGAGGTAACATTATATCCTCTTGTAAATTTTTGTTTTGATAGTGGAATATTTGCTGATTTACCCGTAGACGTAGTCCTACAAGGTAAACCACGTTAATTCGTGTTGTGGTTTGACTCTCTTTAATTTTCTCTCATGACAATGTTTTCTATTTTTAATTTATTTTTTTAAATTGTTGTACACAATCTTTGAGGTTATTATTCGATTATCAATTTTACATATTTGGTATTGAATGTGTGATATTCAGTGATCGAGAAAATTGGGGTTTCCGGTATTTGGATCTTCAATAGATTTTTGTGTTTTTTCTTTTTTTTATCTTGATGCTCAGTAGGAGATCAGCAAAAATGATAAGTTTTTATTTGATTTTTATACTCTTTTTTTTTTTGCATTTTATGCATGGTTTTTAGGAACTTTCTCTCCCTAAAAGAAACATTAAGGAAATTTTGGGGATTTTTTTACAAAATTATGCATCAAAAGGGTATCTGTGCATTTTATCCTGGTTATGGGTCCTAATCTATATCCCAGATACATATACGGGTCTGGGCCTCTTTGGATATGTCGGTTTGGGTACGGGTCCAACAAGTAGTATTTTGGGTTCGAGTCCAGCAACCCGTTGAGCAACTCGAGGATACTTGAGCAGCAATGCCTGACCTTCTCTCTCTTCGACTCTTTTTCTCAAAGATTGATTTTTACCTTTGAATTTTAAGGAAATTTAAGTTTTACGATTAAATTTTTTAAATAATTTACCAGGATAAAAGTATTGAAAAATAGTGAAAAAGCTTTTGGTAATTATGAAAAATTTAAATTTGGAAAATGTTTTGGTAGGGCTCAAGCCCTATCAAAATAAGTAAAGCCTAATCTTGAAAGTCACCAAATATTGTCGTTGTGGAGTTCGAAAACTTTCAAATCGATCATCTCAGCCTTAGCCATTATGGCTATTAAAAAAAAAAAAGAAAACAAAAAATATTTTAATTTAAAAAAATAGTGTGTATATTGTATTACATTAGCTGGACCATCTATTTCACCATAAAAATAAGTGTTCACGGATCTGCAAGAACTCTATCAATTTTTTAGCTTCAAATTTCATAATTAGTGTTGAAAATTGATTTTACCGCCATTATAGAGATTATGATGCTCAAAGTGCTTTTATGGAGAAAGATGGTGAGGCTTTACTTTAGTTTCATAAATCCTAGGCCTTATAGAAAGGGAAAAAGTTTATATAGAGCTGAGGCTCTAAACAATCAAATTAGAACCCACCTCAAAAATTTCATTAGAAGAGGTTATCTTGATGCCCCAATATCCTCAAATTAATCATCGAGACATCAAGATGCATGGATATGAGAAAAAATAGCTAAGGTTTGGAAATAGTGCATCTTGTATCGCATTTTTGGACTGTCAATTTTCAAAATTTTTAAGTTTTTTTAGTTTTGCTTGATCTACAATATTTTTTAAGCTTTAGATTTTATAATTAAATATAAAAGTATATTTTAAAGTTATCACAAAGATTTTCAATATTAAAACCACATTTCTCGACACTATTTGAAGGTAGGTTCTAATTTGATTGTTTAGAGCCTCGGATCTGTACAAATCTCACCCAATAGAAGGTGCACCCTTTTAATTTTAAGCATTAAGTTTCAGGAAATTCAATTTTTACTATTATTAAATAATCAGGAAATTGAAGTCTTACCATTAAATTTTCATAAAAATTTATCATGATAAAGATATTGAGAATCAATAAAAAAATTTCGGAAATTTTAAGGAAATTCAATTTTAACCATTCAAGAAAATTAATTTGTATCTTTAAATTTTAAAGAAATTTACATAGAATGCCATTTGAATAGTTATATTCTATAAATTATTCTTAAAAAGTTAAATTTAGGTAATAATAAAATATTAATAATATCAATAGTTTTGAATATTTCTGAATTGTTTTTCAATTTTTTGAAGAGCTTTTTGTCCCATTTGGTAACCTCACGTAGAACTTAACCGACCCGCACTGGGCCCAGGGCCGTGTTCCGTGCCCGATTCAGGCAATCCTACATTGGGAAAGACAGCTTACTTGGTGAGAGGGAGAGTGTCCCTTACATGGCAGACTTTCCAAATAAGAAAAGGAAAAAATTTTATGTAAGGATTCTACCTTATAATCTAGAACTACGGATGCCCTAAAAAATCCATCAAACAAAGGTGGTTTTAATGTTGAAAAACTTTTTGATTGATCATTTTGACATCGAGATATATGGCTATGAAAAATAAAAAGATTTTAAGTCTCAAAAATAATATATTTTACAACATATTATCTACACCGTCCATTTTCAAGATTTTCATATGTTTATAGATCTACTTGATTTTAACTATTTTTGAAATTTAAAATTTTATTAGTAGATATAAAAATAGATTTTGAGATAATCCTAAAACCATTTTACATCAAAATTATAGATCATGATAACATTTGAAGGTGCACTTTACCTCTACACCTACAGATGCATCCGTATGCCATCAGCAATAAGAAAATAAGAGAGAGAGAGTCCTAATAAAAGAGAGAAAGAGTGAGAGAGTGAAATAAGAGCAATGATTAAATACAATAGTTGTATCGTAGTATTATGCAGCGATACTTCTAGAAAATCATGTTTGTGGTATTTATATGACCTCAAATTTTGTACACACACTCTCTTCATTTCAATCATCAATCTCAAAAAAAAAATCCAATTTAAACCTTAGAAATGGTCAAAATGAGTCCCTTCCTAATGAATCTAGACCATTCATTTTATTCATCTAATGATAATAAAACCATCTAAAAAAATTGGAAATGAAACATCATTTTAAAGCCTAAATTTAAGCATCTCACCAAATTAAACGGCGTATGTTAATTGGGTTAAAAAATACTTTCTAGGTTATAGTTTACATTTTTTTATTTTTTGTGATCATTCATTACAATGGTAAGAGTGTTTATTTCAAAATTTGGATCAAACAAATAGTCTTTTGTATCATGTATGAAATCATTGCCCATGAAATAAATAGGAAACGTTTATATAGAGCCGAGGCTCTAAACAATCAAATTTGAACCTACCTCAAAAATTTCATTAGAAGAAGTTATTTTGATGTTTAAATATCTTCAAATTGATCATCTCGACATCAAAAATCGTGAATAAGAGAAAAAAATAGATTTCAAGTTTTAAAAATAGTGTCTTTCGTACGTATTTTTGGACTGTTAATTTTTTAAATTTTAAAATTTTCATAAATATATCGATCTACATTATTTATGAAGCTTTAAACTTTATAAATAAATATAAAAATATATTTTAAAACTATCACAAATATTTTCAATATTGAAATGGCATCTCTCGACAGTAGTTGAAGGTAGGCTTGATTTGATTGTTTAGAGCCTAGGCTCTATACAAACGGCACCCGAAACAAATAGGCTCACTTTTCCTCTCTCTAAAAGTAGGTTTGACAGAGAGGGAGTGAAGTTTTAGAGAGAGAAAGAGTGTGAAGATTTCAGAGAGAGAAAGAGTGAAAATTTTTAGAGAGAGAAAGGGTTTGAAGATCGATTGAGAGAAAAAGAGTGTTTGATCTTCCTGCTTGCTTGTTTGGTCTGGAGATGGGTTCTCTCTGTTAAGATTTCTAGAGAGAGAAAGTTTGAAGATCGATAGAGAGAAAAGGGAGTGTTTGATCTTCCTGCTTGCATGTTTGGTGGGGAGATGGGTTCTCTCTGTTGCGCTCTCCCTGATGAACTGATGCTCAAGATCCTCACCCAACTCCCCGTTCAATCCATTCTCAACTTCAAAGCAATCTCCAAATCATGGAATGAAACCCTCTCCTCTCCTTCCTTCGCCACTGCTCACTCTCTCTCCTCTTCCCCATTCTCTCCAACCTTCCCTCTTTTCGTCCAGAAAAGTGGAATCTTCTCCATCCCTCCTCCGCCCCGATGTTTGTCTCTCTCCCCCAATGATACTCAGCCCCAACTTCTGAAGCACCTGCCTGATGATGCCTCAGTCGACGGCCTCACAACCTGCAACGGCTTAATCTGCTTCTATGACAGAACCTCTCAATCTTATTACATCGGCAATCCTGCAACTTCTAAGTACACGGTGGTTCCGGCACCTGTAGATTGCTTTTACAACGGAGTTGTTGGCCTCGGCTATGACCCCATCTCCTTTAGTTTCAAGATATTGATACAGTGCTCACCTAAAAGTGATACCCCTTGGAGATGGTGCCTGTTCTCCTCGCTTACCAGGTGCTGGGAAACAGTCGAAGCGCCAACGACGCCTAAAACAGTCGAAGCGCCGACGCCCAAGTTTGATCATCGTTGCGACAGAGCAATGGCATGTACCGGGAGCACCTGCTATGGCGTATTTTGCTCCTGTCCAAATTTTGTGGCTTTCGACCTAAACACAAAATCATGGGATTCATTCCCACCTCCGGAGGGTCTCTCGTATTCTTGCAGAAGACTGGGCGGACTCTTTATCCACACTTGCAAATACCTTTTGAAAACCCAAATGTGGGGTGACCGGGTTTGTATTTTCAATATAAACCATGATTTAGAGTTGAAAATATGGGTTTTAAATAGAGAGATGAGGAACTGGGAGCTGGTGGTGAACGCGGGCCTGCAAAATTTGAAGGATAAACCTGGCAATACACTTGAGGCCCTTCTCTTGGTGGGTGACACATTATTCATTTCAAGACACAATGACAGATTATTCATTTCAAGAAGACACAGAGATCGTCATTCAACAAAAATCACCATAGCATATAATGTGAGAAGTCACCAATTTACAATAATTGAAGATCTTTCCTTGCGCAATGTATTTGATTTTGTGCCCTATAAGACAACCCTCTTATCCTGGGACGCATAGAAGCTCAACTCTGGTAGTTTTCGAGTATGGTTTGATGACATCCATTCTCTCTCTGTTTTCGTTTCTCTTTTGCTGAGTTAAACCTTTTTGTGTGAGTGGTCTTGGGATTTTGGCAATTCGCAGTTTGTTTTTATTGGATTTCATTAGCTGGACTGGTTTCGGTTGTCGTCTTCTTCCATTTGAAAGATGCAATTGTAGGATTGTAACTGCTTTATGCTATTGTTTCTATCAGTGTAAATCAGCTTGCTTCTCTTTGCTATTTTAGTTATTTTAGTTAAATCAGCTTTTTCACTTTCCTAGCTATTTCAGTTATAAAAAACATCACTCCAATTGGATTACAAATCCAAATATTTCAAGTTGGTTACAAATATCATTTGATCTAGGTATTGTTTTTGCAATAATCGGTGATTAAACTAATGCAATGGAAATGTTGATCAGGATTTTTTGTCCATGCATTTGGAGCTATTTATTTCTAATTGTTCACTGACACTGACTCTAAAGTCTCTAGGATTGGTGCATCAATTTTGGAATTGGTCGAACTGAATATTTTGAGCAACTTGACTTGATATGTCACTACAAAGAAATGTGAAATTATCTTTGTAGAATATATTTGCAGTCAAATAAATCTAGATACCTCAGTTGTTTCAAGAATTTTTTCTTTGAAACAAGGACAAAATTTTATTTAGGATGACTAGCTTGTGGGCTGAAAATGCCTCGATGAACCATTTGTATGCCGGTGAGAATTTCTTTTCTAAGAATAAGATTATGATTACTTAAGACTTCTCAGGGGTTTATGTTTAGAGCTCAACTTAGTGGAGCATTTATTCAACTCTGTACACCCTACCGTTGGTTCAAGATGCCCTGGAAGATTTACCTGCCAAGGAGACCAAAGTGAGCTTCTTGTTTCTTCTCGTGCATTTACAAGTTTAGAGATTACATTGTTGTCTTTTGTGCCTATTGTAGTCATGGCCACTATCTTGAATAAGATATAAAACATATGAACAAGGAATACAAAATTGACATCCACAAGCTTGGATGCCTCTCCATCTTGTTTGGGCTTGACAATTAGAATTTTCAGAAGACTAATAACTTGATGAAGCGTTTGGTTGTATTGGTAACTATCTACATAAAGTTTTACATACACTCTACATAATAATCTTATTTCCTATTCTAGTTCCATCTGTGGTTCTGTGCTCTCACCTCCTAACAGGAACATCAGTGATTCAAGTTCATTTGGTAATCTACTAAACCTAGATATGCCTCACTTCTGCAATTAGTTTCTGAATATGTCACTTTGGTTGGGTATTTCACTTTGGTTTGACCAGCCGTATATGTAGAAAGTAATCTCTTTTTTTGACATTCTCAATATGTCTCTAGTAATATTTGTCTATTAACCTAAGGATCTAGTTTAATTGCTCCAAAAGAGTAGGATTTGAGTAGTTAACACTTTGGTTTTTTAGTTTTTTTTTTTTTGGGTAGTTCTGTGGTATGAATCGAACTTGAGATGTTGCGTTGCTAAGACCCTAAGCACTCTAGTCCAAGCACCATTCCTAGGTACTTAACACTTAGTATGTTAGAATGCAAATGTTTGGTATGTTCTCTGTATTTTAAATACCCCATCTTTTCAGGTTATGAAGTCTCCATTAACTTGTGTAACTTTAGGGATGTTTGAATAAATTTCGAGGAGTTCCCGTGCGAGTTGAATTATTATTATTTGAGCATTAACATGTAACGTCCATTAGAAGTAAATATGCACAAGAGAGTACAAAGAAGATTGAGATTGTTTGATGAATACCCATGAGGGTTGATGAGCATCACCATAAGCTAAAGATCATCAGCCTCATTACTACCTTCGCTAAAGTAATGATTTAAAACCACACAGTTCCTGGACATGAGATCCTTTACTTCATACAAGATATAAATTTATGCCCTAGGTACCCTTGTTGTCCCCTTACTCCAAGCAGTCATATTGGTAGAAACCTCTTCAACAAGCTTATGGCCATCAAACGAAGATAATAGCTTTAACCTTTCCAAAAGGGCTCTAACTCCAGCTTCATTCGCTGTGACTGCATTACATGGTCTCAAGTAGGACAACAAAGTATGATCTTTGTGGTCTCTAACTAATCTTCCAAACCTGCAATATTGGGAATCCTTGAAAACCATCATCAAAATTAAGTCTAAAAACAATTTTCAAGTGTGCCATCCACGCACCCTATCTCCTTTTAATTTATTATCTGGCGCTGTCACCTCTTTGAAATTCAAGATAATATACCAGAGTGAAACAAATCTTGTAAACTAGCCTGTGTTAAATTTGGGTTTGCTTCCAGGCTCAATCCACTTGGGGATGCTATGCACTAACCTCCCAAAGTTCCACACATGGGTCAGTGATAACACATATAATACTTTAAAGAATGAAGACTTTTCGAGCTATGATCTTTGAAAGAACTTCATTACAAGAGTATATGGATTAGGGCAATGATTTCATGCAACCGTTGAATAGTAATATGATGCAACAACCTTAAAAAACCATTTATGGCCATTTGTTTGATCAAATTTTGAAATATACACTCTTGTCATTCTAATGAACAATCACAAAAAAAAGAGAAAATTGAAAACATAACTTAGAACGTATTTTTTTAGCCCAATTAACATAGGCCGTTTATTTTGGTGAGATGCTTAGATCTAAGTTTAAGAAGGATTTTTTCATTTCCAATTTTTTTAGATGGATTTATTATCATTAGATGAACAATTTTAAAAAAGAAAAAATTGATTTTGAGTTTATAAAGGCTAAGATATTGAAATTTACAAAATGAATGGTCTAGATTTGTTTTAGAGGGGACTCATTTTGACCATATCTACTATCCAAATTGAGCTTTGTGTTTTTGGGGGATTGATTATTGGAATGAAGAGAGTGTGAGTACAAAATTTGGAGTCATACAAATACCGCAAACATAGTTTTCTAGAAGTGTCATTGCATTATATTATGATACAACCATTGCATTGCATCATTGTTCGATGGATTAAGGCACCAATACAAGTCCAATTCCCATTCCCTAAACCTCAATGAGCCTTTCTCTTCTGGCATTCTTCCTTAGTGCAATACAAGTCCAATTCCCATTCCCTAAACCTCAATGAGCCTTTCTCTTCTGGCATTCTTCCTTAGTGCAATCCATATTTTGTTTGCGACCTGAGAAAACTGCTCCCTAGTTTGGTGACCTGACTGATTTTGCCACTCTCTCTCTTAACAGATCTAAAGGTTACATCTTGCATTGCAGGGGTGCAGGAACCCCAGAATTTCTCAGGCTCCGCATTTCTTCAAAAAAACAAAAATTTTCTCTTGCATCACTACACCGGTCTCAATCCGAAATCACATTCAAGTCCAACCTTTTGTCAAACTTGTTAGCAAGGACTTATAAAAGGAAAGCAAATATCGGAATAATAAGTTAAGAACATGAAACATAATACAAAAAATTATCCAACTCTTTTCATCGGGTCTCACAATTGATTAGTATGTCCATTCAAAACTGGTCAAACATTTATTTTGACCTTGGTAGTAAAAATTTATAAAAATAAAAATATAGGAATAATAATTTAAAAACATGAAAAGTAAAAACTAATGCACCATTCAGTTGATACCCATTCACCAGCTTCTCTCGCATATGGAAAGAAACTAATCTTAGAAGATGAGAAATAAACTTTTTCAAGACTATAAAAGGTTTATGAGAAATTCCATAAAATACATTTTCACTATGTGATAAGAGAAAGTAGGATCATGTTCATCCCACACCTTCCATCAAGGTTTTAAAATAAGCAATGCACGTTTTAAAAATAGCATTACAAATGTTTTTTCAAGGTCGAAAACTATAGCATCAAGGGTTTAAAAATAACTTCAACGCATGCTTTGAGAACCATCAAGGTTTTAAAAAAAACTTCAACGCATGCTTTGAGAAGGTATTACATAACTGTGAAAGTTAAGAAAATAGCATTTATACATTTAAAGCTAAAAGATTACGATAGAGTGGCCCATATAATTCTATCCTTCTGGCAACACATCGCCATGTTGCATTCCCATTCAACAAACTAAATTTGGTTCAACCAAAATGGGTATCCATTTCCACCGTTGACACCCTCAATTAACACTTTCAAAATGTAATTTATGGAAAAAATGGGTAGGAGCCTGTCTTTCCCACTTAACTACTCAAAAAAAAAAAAAAACTAAATATGATTAAGCTTTAATCTTTAATTCAATGGCATACATAATTTAGGGATAATACCTCGCCAATGATCAAATTTTGCCAAGTTCAAAAACAATTAAGACAGTTGAAAAAGTAAATAAAACAAATTTTGCTCAAAATCAAAAGGGAAACAAAGACTAGAGAGACTAGACTTTTCGCTACCATATCATTATTTCAAAATTTAAATGGCATAAACCCACCTCAAAACATCAAATTTTCTCTATCACATCACAAACAACATCAAATCTATAAAAAAATGAGATTATAAGAGCAAAGAGCTTAGACCGACCTGAAAACCAATATTTCCTCCCTCATCATCTCTAGAGAGAGAAAGAGAAAAGCCCCATGAAATAATGGATGGAAACACAATCGGAATGTGATCAACTGACATTCAAACAAGGACCGACATCTCAATATTCAGATATTTTTTCAAGATAATGAAAATTAATAATCCATTACCCCTATTTTTTCTGAAAATATCAAATTACATTATCTATAATGGTTTTGACTATTCTTTTAAAATTTTTTAGGGTTGGATGTGGCCGATCCAATTTAAAGATCCACCGATCCAATCAAGTTTTCCGGATGGACGATCAGTGTCACCAATCCGTTTCTTAAAACCTTGTTTTGGACCACAACTTGGAAATCTCTTTCCAACCATGGTGGTGCTCGAGAATACACAAAATACTATGAGCATGGAGATTGATTTTGGATGGAATTCAGGGGGCTCTAAGATACAATGAAGTCATTTTCAATATTACAAACATGAGAAGAAATGGCGAAGTAGAACAGATGGCAAAGTTTGGCTCATAACAACATATGCTTTCTGATTATGAGGGGAAAAGTATACAAAGAGACTATTTACTTTGATACAAAGAGACTGTTTACTTTTTGTATAAGATGGTCACAATCGGTCTTGTTCCTTAAATTTCAAAATGGTTGGTTGTAAAAAAGTCATTGAACAAATATAAAGTTCCAAAACAAAAATTATTGGATTTATGTGAGTCACTCAAAACCATCCAATTTGACATCTAATAAGTAAGAATAGATGTCACCTCTATATAATAACGATTAATGATATCTTTGTAGACAACCCCTAACTTTGTCTATTCATTGCATGAAAAAGCGGTTCAGAACTCCAAGTTCAAAGCTGCTAAATTTTTAAAGAGTCCATCCAAAACTTAATAGGCCACATAGAAAACGAATATAATAATAAGGTTCAGGAGTTTCAAACTATGGGTATTTTGAAAAACAAAAAACACAGAAAATAAGACATGAGCAGTAGATGTGAAAAATAGAGACAATTTTTTAAAGGAAAAAGTTTATATAGGGTTGACACTTTAAATTGTAGAATTAAGGTGCACTTAAAAATCCATCGGAAAAAGGTAATTTTGATGTTGAAAAACCATCTAATTGACCATCACAATATCGACACGTATGCATGTTAGAGAAAAAAAAAAAGAAAAAAGAAGGAGATTTCAAGTTCCAAGAATATGACATCTTGCAACATATTATCTGGACCGTTTTTTAAATATACTTGATTTGAAATATTTTTAAAGTTTAAAATTTTATAATTAAAAATAAAAATAGATTCTTAGACTATCCTAAAACTTTTCAACACCAAAATTACATCTTATAACAAAGTTTAGAGGTACACCTTAATTTAATTATTTAAGGTTCCAATTTCATGCAAACCTCCCCTTTTCTTGGAAGTTAAACAAATATTTACATTAGGGGGCCGTTTGGATACCTGAAAATATATTATCTATTAAATATATTATTGGCGTAATATATTACTGCCTAATACGTTACCTGTAATAGATTGTTACTGTTTGGATAGTATTTAGATGTAACCTGGGAAATACATGGCTACTGTTTGGCTATGTCTCTGTCTGGAAGAAATATGGGAAATGTATTTACCAATATTTTACCATCACTTGCCTATAAACTATCACTTCTTCTTTTTTTTCTTCACAAAATTCTACTGAAATGTAGAATTAAAGTCATCATCACATCATTCCAAAAATATTTTCTAATAATAACATCATCACCATTCCAAAAAGATTTTCTAATAATTTCTACCATTCTAAAGTCATCTTCACACAAATTCTTTATTTTGCATGCCTTTGGTACTTACATGAAATCACATGCCTTCTAACATGATTAGACTTTGGTTTCAAAATGATAAGTCATTGGAATAACATGTTTTTATTGTGATAAGCCTTATTTTTATTTATTTTTTATAGAAGTCTTTCAAATATCTATCTATATAATTTCAAATAAACAATAAATTTATGATACGAAATTAAAAATCTGTATGGTACGAGTTAAAAATAGGAAGAAGTTTGATTAGCAAACTAAAGGTTTGATAATTGCAGTAAAAAATTTTGAGGTATCGAAAGAAACTAAAGAGATATCTTATTTCAATTGAGCTTTTACTAATATCTTATGAGGATTATGTTGGGTGAAATTTTTTATTATAATTGTGTTGTGTAATTTCTTATATTGAACTTTTACTAATCTCTTATGAGGATTATGTTTGGTGAAATTTTTTATTATAATTGTGTTGTGCAATTTCTTATGTTGGATGTAATTTTTTATTATAATTGTGTTGTGCAATTTCTGAGGTTAGCAATCTTAAACAATCAAAATATGGTGTATCGCTAAATTTTATTGTAATATATAAATTTGGTGTTGAAAATTCTTAGTTTGGCTTGAGAATCCATTTTCATCTCTAGTAATAAAATTTTGGACCTTAAAATAGTTCAAATTAAAGTTGATCTATAAACACATGAAAACCTTGAAAATGGATGGTCGAGATAATGTATTGCAAGATGCACTAAATATATTCCAAGATGAATAATTTTTAGAACTTGAAATCTTTTCTTTTCATATTCATATATCTCGATGTCGAGATGATCAAGTAGAGGATTTTCCAACTTCAAAACAACCTTTTTTATGATGGATTTCTAGGTACATCTTAATTCTACAAAGTTGCAACCTCATATAACCTTTTTCCTTAGGTTTTTGCCATTTCTCAAAGGCAAAACCAACTCACAAGCTTAGCTATAAGGTAACACCATTTATTGTAATACATTTTTGGAACGCCAATTTTTAAGATTTTCAAGTTTTCATGGATATGCTCAATCGATACTATTTTTTAGGCTTTAAATTTAATACTTAGAGATGGAAATAAATTTTAAGGTTATCACAAAGATTTCTAATATTGAAACCACATTTCGCTTTAAATTTAATACTTAGAGATGGAAATTAATTTTAAGGTTATCACAAAGATTTCTAGTATTGAAACCACATTTCTCGAAACCATTTGAAAGTGCGCTCTACTTTGATTGTTTAGAGCCTCAGCTCTATACAAACTGTAGCCTTAATTAAATGTTAAGGTGCACAGTCATCACATTTATAATATCAAAAAAAAATCTCTTGAAAAGTTATAATTTTATTCCTATTAACACATAACTTTACTTGAATGATTATAATAAATTCATAACATTTAATTATAATTTTACTTAATTTTTGTAGTTAACATAATATTCAGCACATTACTACAATTATACTGTTATCATACTTACTGTTGTTGTAATATTTTACATCTATTCCAACTACAAATATTATAATAATTATTTGTTATATAAGATTTAATACAATCTGAATATAAAGTTGTAATCATATTATTATTATTATTATTATTTACAAATAGCAGTACTAATTAATACAAAATTAGAAAAATTCACGCTCATTATTTACGTATAAATTTATATAATTGTCATTCTATAATCACTACAAAGCAAACAATATTTGATTGTAAATATTTGAAAAAAAACAAAAAAGAATTTCGAACCTGTCTGATGCAGGAAGACGGGAAAAGATGAAAAGAAGGGGCAAATGTGGGGTGGTATCCACGTATTTTGGGGGAAAATATGGAGGTGACCATAATAAAAAGGAAAATCAGTTAACATATAATTTTTTCAATAATAAACTTGAGAAATGGGGGGTTACTTTTGAAATTAAACCTAGTTTAATCTTTAGGAGAAGTATTATGTGATCCATAGGATGACAATAACGGCAATGGAGAGTGAGTCCCATAAAACATGCCACTAATTCAACCGTACATTCCCTTTCACCTCCACCATTCACTCCATCGGCTGGATGGTGATGACACTTGTAATCACGATGTTACAATAATTATATGCATCATGCTAAAACCCAGGTTGCGTTCACATGTATACGGCTTTGCACAAGCATCTGCAGGACATCAGGAACATAGATTTCCAAGATTTTGAAGATCATCAGGAACATAGATTTCCAAGGACCATGATGCAATCTCTAAACATGTAGATGCAAGAGTTGAAAAAAGAAGCTCACTCTAGTATCCTTGGCAGGCAAATCTTCCTGGGAATATTGAAAATTATTGTTGTTTTTTGTGCCTTTTGTAAGTCATTGCCACTTTCTTGAATAAGATATAACATATGAACAAGGACTCGAGCTTGGTTAAGGCAGACAGTTTGTGAGGCCCTAAAGAAAAAAGGGATGAAATGGCTTCCAATGTGATGTAGACGTTCATAGGTTGCATAAGCACATTGAGATGGTTGAGATTGAATGTGTATCCGAAATAGGATGGATGGTAAACATACTGCTATGATACTTATCGAGTACTCTTTGTGCAGGGTTCGACAAACATAGCATTGATCTCCACCACCCATCAGTTAAAATGGACGGTTCCTCTTTAGCTTGGATTCAAACAAGCAACCCTATGGCTCCAGCAACTGAGCTTGAAGCTTCAATGAGACCCAGATTCTACGAGTAGATATATTTGTGTATATATTAAGGTGCTGCATATTGCTTTTTATTTTGCATTCGTAAATAATTGGTTAGGACATAATAGGCAGTGGCAACCCCATTAATTTCTCAATTAACCACCCAATAATTTTTAGGCAGTTCTTATCCCCTTGGACCAAAATAAAAAGGGATGTTTTTTTTGGTCCGTGAGAAGAGAAATCTCTGAAAGAGGAAAAACAGAAAACTGCAACTTATTCCCATGCAGTACAAATAAATCCACAAACATGTCCCCCAGACAACTTCATATTCGCAGAGACATGGGATACCATGGGATACCAAGAAGTCCTCTCTCTCTTTCTTCCTCCTCATCCTCCCTTTCTCTCTCTCTAATCCTTCTCCAAATCCTACCTCATTCCGTGTAGATCTTCACCACCGTGACTCTGTGCATTCTCCGCTCCACGACCCTCGGCTTCTCCCTATGCTCTTCTCAAGCTAGCTATCGAAACGTTCCATCTCTCGCCACAATCCCTTGCAATGTAACCTTCAGATCTTAAAACCGAGATCAAGCGAATACCAGACGAGTACCCCATCAAAATTGGAATACTCTTATGCATTATTCCAAGAGGAGGGCTCCTAGAGCTTCACATTGGCAACCCCCACCCCAGGGCGACCTTAAGCTCAACTTTGATGGGTGCTTTTTAGGCTATCCTGGACCATCAGGAATAGGAGTTGTGCTAAGAAACCACGCTGATTCCACGGTAGCTTCAACAACCAAGTTTGTAGGCCACTTGGACTCAATGAAGGCAGAAGCTACCGCGCTGTTAGAGGGCATTAGATTGATCCAATCCTTCTCAAATTCGCCTTTTATCATAGAAGGCGACTCAAAGAATGTCATTACTTGGGCTAAACATCCCTCCTTCATCGCTCGGGTCTTAAACCAAATCTTTGACGAACTCTTACACCTATGCAGGGGACTAACTGTTAAATGGAGGCACACATGGAGGGAGGCAAACCATGTCGCAGATACCATAGCGAAAGCAGTAGCCCGCGGTGAAGATACAAGTGGAATCCCAGTTTCTTAACAGCCTCTCTAGAGGCTCCTCTCTTACCCCGCATATTGTACCTGTGCTTTTAGCTTATACTAGCTTTTACTAGCTATCCCAAGTGGATAGCTCTTCTCTTTCTCCCCCCTGTAACTCTGCTAACTATCCTTAGTGGTTGGCTTTTCTCTCCTTCCCCCCTGTAAATCTGCCATCTGCTTGTGGATAGCCCTCTCTCCCCCTCCCCTTTGTACTTTTATCTAATATATATATATATATATATATAACAGTCAACATTATCAAAAACATTTTCGATCCCCAGAATTCATGCACATATGTCGCGCTCAACCATACTGCCCCTCTATGTCAAGCCTTCCACAAAGATACCCCTCCTGAAAACCCATGCCCCTATGAGGTCTTATATGCTGATAAATTACAGAGTAAAGACATACTTGCAACCGAATCCTACACCTTTGAGACTTCTGGAGTTGATGCCACACCACTAATCCTCTCTCTACTTGTAGAAGCAGTGCTAACCCTGGCTACAATTCTAGTGCAAGCACTAATCGTCTCTCTAGTCCTTGTAAAACCAGTGTTGATCCTCACTATAATTCTAGTGCCACCACTAATCCTAGATCAAGTCATAGCTTTGCAGTAACTAATCCTGGTTCTAGCACCAATATGAGTTCAGATTCAACTCCTAATACTAAAAATGACACTACTCCAAGTGCTAGTACTACTAGCACTAGTCCTAGTGTTAATGTTATCCAGACTAACAATGCAATTCAGAAAGTGCTCAACGGGATTGGTTTTGGGTGCGGCCACAACAACACTGGGAATTTTCTAGCTGCAATGGCGGGCATCAAAGGGCTTGGGGGAGGGCCTCTCTCGCTAGCCTCCCAATTGGGGGGTGTAACTGCCGACAAGTTCTCTTATTGCCTGACCTTTGGCATCGCCATTGATGCCATAGGCCAGTTGATATCCAGAGACAATCCCGTGATCGATGGGCCAAACACCAAGAGAACAGAGATAATAAGGGACCCTGACATGCCGACCTTCCACTTCCTAAACCTTGAGGGCATTAGTGCAGGTGATAAGAGGCTCACTGTCCCTCCAGGAACGTTCGATCAGGATGCTGATGGAAATGGAGGGTTGATGATTGATTCTGGCGACCATAAACTACTTGGCAAATGGAGGATATGGACCACTAACTGATGAATTAAAATCTGTGATCCAATTAGAGGCAGCAAACGACCCCTCAGACAACCCCAAATCAATGTTGGAGCTCTGCTACAAGAAACCTAACAACTTCAAGGGGATCCCTGATATCACTTATTACTTTTCAGGAAATGCCGATTGGCAGATGCTGCCCTCGAACTCGTTTGAAGTGATGAGTGAAGATGTGATATATCTGGCCCTTCTCCCTGATATCAATGTTGGAGCTCTGCTACAAGAAACCTAACAACTTCGAGGGGATCCCTGATATCACTTATTCCTTTTCAGGAGGTGCCGATTGGCAGATGTCCACCCCCGAACTCGTTTGAAGTTTGCAGTGTTGTGTTTTCAATGAAATGGACCCTACTGGGCTTCTGTGTGTTTTGGGTCCTGCTCTTTGGTATGTAAAGATATCAGAATCACCAACATCTTGCAGACATGAAATCTAATACTTAGTTTGAAATATTTACATAACCCCCCAATTTCACATCAAACAACTAAAGTTCATTATGATCTTCATATACCAAAGCTAAACATAATATATGGATGCATGATGTTAAGGGCCCAGGTTTAATGTGCTTGGCATTTATGAAAAAAATAGCTGAACATGCACTAGCCTTGTTTTGGGATTCAAATGTCAAAAAAACTACGCTGAATAGTTTTTCTGTTGTTTTTTATTTTTTTCTAAAAGAACTGAGACATAATGAAGCTGATACAAGCAGGTGATCTACGATCATATGACGCTGGAAAATAGATAGTGGTAAGTGCTTGTTACCTTCAAATCGCTGGATGGATGGTGATGGAAGGTGGGAGGCGAACACAAGGATCATGGATGTTGGAGTCGTTCCTACTCTCTCTTATCACATAGTGCAAATGTATTTTATGGAATTTCTCATAAACATTTTATAGAGTCTTGCAAAAGTTTATTTCTCCTCTGATGAGATAAGTTTCTTTCCATACACGAGAGAGGTCTATTTTTACACGGAAGACAGGGAGTTCTGGTGAATGGGTATCGACTGAAGCTATATTCAAAAGCCTTAACCAACGAGCAGTGGAAGGAGAGATTGAAAACTCATCTGAGCCCTCTGTGCACTACCTGAACCCTGTACATTCTTTGATGATTACAATACCAAAACTCCTGAGTTGACTACTTATCTCTCCAAGTCTAATGGACGAACTTCTTTTTATTTTTTGGGTAGTCCAGTGGGAGGAATCGAAATTGAGGTGTTGCACTGCTTGACGTTTGCTGCTAACCACTTAAACCCAATTCCTAAAAACAATGAGCTTCAGTTATCAAAAACTATGACACTAAAGAGTCGAAGCATATTGCCCAAGGCATGACTTAAGAACAAAATTTCTTCCCTAAAGCAAATTTAACTAGCACATCAAAACAAGTATTGGCACCAATAGGCGATAAAATAAGAAAGAGTAGACTTAGGTGAGCTGGCCATGTGTGGCGCCAACCAATTACAGCACCTTTTAGGAAGTACGAGTTAGTTCAAGTGCATGACGAAAAAAGGCAAGGGGTAGGCCCAAAAAAACGTGGTTGGAAGTAGTCCAAAAAGATATGGGGACTTATGGCTTTACTGAGGATAATAGAGTAGAATGAAGAACCAGGATCCATATAACCGACTCCAATTAATTGGAAAAAGGCTAAAATTATGATGATAATGATGATGATGATCAGAACAAGTATGTAGTTTCTAATATCTGTTAAAGTGATGCCATACCTCGTACTCTTACGGTGGCACTTGTTCTTACTTTCCATGTTTTTAAACTATTATTCTTATGTTTTCTTTATTTTTTTAAATCCTTTCTACCAAGGCCAAGAAAAATGTGTGCCAGTTTTGAATGTTTATTCCTATATTTGCTTTCATTTCACAAGTCCTTGCTAACGAGTTTGACAAAGGCTGGACTTGAACGTAATTTCAGATTAAGACTGGTGTACTGCTTCAAAAGAAAAAAAAATTAAAATTGAAGAAATGCGGAGCCTGAGAAATTATGGGATTTCTGTACCAGGATCCTGCCCTGCAATGCAAGATGTAACCTTTAGATGTATTCGGAGATAGAGTCGCAAACTTAGACGGGTCACCAAACTAGGGAGCAGTTCACTCCAGTAACAAACAGAACATGGATTGCACTAAAGGAAGAATGGCAGAATCGAAGGGCTCATTAAGGTTTAGGAAACAGGAATTGGACTTATATTGGTGCCTTAATCCATAAATACTCTTGTAATGAAGTTGATTCAAAAGGTCCCCTAGTGGATTGACTTTGGAAGTACACCCAAATTTAACATTGGCTAGTTTACAAGATTTGTTTCACTCTGGTAAATTATCTTGAATTTCAAGGAGGTGCCAGAGGTAGATGATAAAATTCAAAGGAGATAGGTTGTGTGGGCACTGCAACTAAAAATTGTTTTAAACTTAATTTTGATGGAAGGTTTTCAAGGAATCCTGGTATTGCAGGTATTGAAAGATTAGTCAGAGACCACAAGGGTCGTATTTTGTTATCCTACTTGAGACAATGTGGTGCTGTCGCAGCTAATGAAGCTGAAGTTAGAGTCCTTTAGGAAGGGTTAAAGCTATTATCTTTGTTTGATGGCCATAAGATTATTGAAGAGGATTCTACCAATATGATTGCTTGGAGTAAGGAGACAGCAAGGGTACCTCAGACGTCAATTCCAGTTTTGGATGAAATAAAGGCTCTTATGTTTCGGAATTGCATGGTTTTAAATCATTGCTTTAGGGAGGGTAATCGTGAGCCTAATGATCTTTAGCTTAAGGTGATGCTCATCAACCCTCATGGGTATTCACCAAACAATCTTAATCTTCTTTATACTTTTTAATACATATTTTATTTCTAATGGAAAATTATAGGTTAATGCTCAAAAAAAAAAAATAGAATTCCTCTTGCTCGGGAACTCCTCAAAATTTATTCAGACATCCTTAAGTTGCACATGTTATGGACTTCAAAACTTGAAAAATATGGGGTATTTAATTGTGCTGGATCAAAGGAATGGATATCTCACATCTCGCACCCACAAGTCTCTCTCAACAACCTCAAAATTCTCAATTCCATCTTTTTGGGTTTCTTATTTTCTCTCATCTTCTCTGCCTCGATTATTTCCTTTTTTGTTCCGGTCATTTGGGCTCTCTCTCTCTCTCCACATCTATCTATCTACCCATAAATGTTTTGACTTGGTTCTGTTTATTTGGTTCTTTGTTTAGTTTTATTCATTTGGTTCTTTTCGTATTTCGAGTACTACCTCAATTTGGTGGCTCTGCCTCCCACTCTAATTTTTTTGAAAATCATAAAATAAATTGCACCAAGAAATAGAATGGACCAGACAATTAATAAGAAGATAAACAAAAGAATGGATGCCTGACTGCAACCGGAGCAAAGGAAAATAAGCAAAAATGGGTCTCTCGTAGAGTAGAAGCCATTTGACTCCGTTAATAATTTAAGGCCATGAACGCCCAAATTTGTTATCCCCAATTTAGAGCTATTCAAATCTTTTACTTCTTTCTCCAATTCTTGAGCCACAACAAAAGATTTTAGTTCTCTCTAGTTCTTGAACTACATTCTAATCTTTATCTTCTGTCTCTACTTTCTCTTCTCTCCGTGGTAATTCATTGCATGAGTTTCTTTTGGAGATTGATAATGAAAAAACTCCATGCCCAATGCATCTGCGAGCTTCACAACCATCCAAACTTTTAAGGGAAAATTTCATATAGAGCTTTAATTCTTCGTATTATTTCAAGGTGGACCTTCTTTCCATTTTTTTTTCAAGCGACAAAAAGAACCCCCTAAAGATTTCAGCATACCCCTTCATATCTTATCTTCCCTCTTTTAGTGATTTTTTATCATAAACATTAACATCAAAAAATCTTTTTATACCATTTCAACCCAAAAACGTTTTTAATGGGTGGAAAGGAAAAAAACGGGTTAAAATTTTTTTTGAGTTAAAATGGTATAAAAAAATTTGTTGGGGCTAATTTTTATGGTCAAAAGTCAATTAAAAAGAGAGATAAGAGATGAGAGGGTGCGGTGAAATCTTTAGAGGTTTCCTTATGCCGCTTGAAAGAAAAACGGTATGAGAGTCTACAATGAAATAATATGAGAAATTAAAGTTCTATATGAAATTTTCCCAACTTTCAATTCCATATTCACTAAAGTAACTGGAAAAGCTTCTACTTGAAACTTCCTTGCCTCTCTAACTCACTAACCCTCTTTGAAACCCTAATCTCACATTCTAGTCATTGGAACACTACTGTTTGAGCTGAATTACTTTATCTTATATGAAGGTTTTGGGCTTTTAAATCTGGTCTCTGAGCCATTAGACCATAAAACCCCATTACTACCCTCATTTGGAACATTGTTCTTCCCTGTAAAATTCAAATTGAAAGGGTTAGAAAACATAATAAAACAAAAGTGCCTTGCCCGTCTATGCACATGGAGAGAAACCAGCAATGGAACTTAAAAAGCCAGAGGAGGGAAAAGAAATGTGCATGAATATAGGGGAAGCTTATGAAATGCATATTGCAAAAATGATAGAGAGAGAATCTTTAATTTCGTGAAAGAGCAACCGTGGCAATAGTGAGATAGTAGAGAGGAAAGAGGACGGGTAGAAAGAGAAAGAAAGAGGGCAAATAGAGAGCGAGAAAGAGAGAAGGGAAGGGTAGTTTAGTCCCAAATATGTTGATTTTTGACTTCGAGGGTAAAAATAAGAAAAAATGGTATTGGGGTTGAGAGTGTAATACTAAAAGCATTAGGAGATGAGATGTTTACAAAGTTTATTTTTTATGGGGGGCTTACAGACAAAAATGTTTGAGGAGCGATTAAAAAAAAAAAAAAGAGAGAGAGAGAAAGAAAGAGAGAGGCTTCTAAGTGGATTGGGCCAGGCTTATATTTGGGCCAGCCCAAGCCCAACCCAAAATACACTTTCGAGCCTGGCCTCTCTAGGGCAGGCAAAAAAATTTCAAGCTTTTACAGGGCCTGGG